ATTCCTGCTTTGTGAGGAGGCTCCGGGCCACCCCTGTCGAGCTCTCGTGTCGCAGGACGGAGGGCAGGATGGGAGCAAGTTCCTGGCAGCCTCCCAGTGCAGGAGTTCACCGTGGGCTCTGGGGGACCTGTGCCTCCACCCTGTCCTTCTTGAGGTCTCAGGCAGCGGCCTTTGGGTGCGGGGGTGGCCCAGAGGGGGAGACGAAGGTGGTGGTTGGCAGTGCCCGCGTGTCCAGCTGCAAGCCCAGACCTCGCCTGGTGGCGGGAGGGCAGAGATGCCCGACAAGACCCCCTTATTTGGGGATTTGGGGGAGGGGAAAGTGGCAGGCGTCATGGGCCACTGAGCTGGGTCCCACGTGCGGGACCGTGGAGGGAGCATTCTTAAAGAGGCGCTTTGGAAATAAGCAGATGGACGGAACAAGCCTAGTTTCCTGAGGGGCCTTTTGTGCTGTCAGCAACTGAGATATTTGCAGAACATTGTACAGACCCCGTGCTCCCCTGTACATTTCTCCCTGGTGGCGCCCGGTCCCTACTCGGGGATGGGAATTTTGTAGACTGTACAGAAATCGGCACCCTATTTTCTTGCAGCTTTCAGATTTTGTTAATCTGGATTATACAGACAGAGACGTAAAGTGTTTTAGCAAAACGGAAAACAAAACAGTTGTGCCTTTTTCCTCTTTCTGTTTGGTTCGGTGTCGGCTTGGGGTGGCCTTAGTTGGCGTGGGGCGAGTTGGGGCTGCAGCTGGCCTGAGGCCTGGCCGGGTGGGGAGGGCAGGTGGGGGCCCGTGACGTACGCGTGGTGGGCCGTGTCTTGTCAGGTGTCAGGTGGTGGCACTGGGACGCTGCCAGCTTCCTCTGATCCTGTGCCTTTGGACCTCCTGTCCCTGGGGCGGGGCCCGTGGGTGGGGCCACCGGAGCCCCCGGGCTGCCCACGTCTGCTGGCATCGACCGAAGTGCCTCTCTGGTGATGCTCCTGCCAGTGGTGTGGCCCCTCCCGTCCCGCTGGTGTCTGTCGATGCTGCGTCCTCCCCACGCCCCAGTCGGTGGCCCGGAGGGTGGTGGGTGCTGGCTGGGCTCTCGACCTTTCCTTATGCCCTCTTGCTGCTGCCAGGAGAGATGCCAGGAGGGGTGTGGGCAGAGGCACCTATGTGCCCCAGGCTGGGTGCATGCTGAGCCCAGGTCAGGACCCTTGCCCGGCCAGCGTGCGGCTCCTGGGCTCCTGAGGAGCACGGGGGCAGGTCTCCCGTCCTTCCCCCAGCCTGGGAGCTGACTGCTCCACAAACGTGCACTGAGGCGTGAATTTTATACCTTTGTAGAAATTCTGATGTTCTACCTCTGTGAAGCGTCCTCCTGGGGTCCTGCCCAGTGATGTGTCTGGGCAGCTTCTCTGCACTGGGCGGCCCTGGGCCCCCTCCCCTCCCTGCTGGCTCCTGGGCCTCCCCAGACTGGAAAGCCAGGCCTGGGCCCGGCACCCGTGCTCAGGGGTTGAGCTTCCAGGGCTTCTGTTGTCTGTTTCTGGAGCGGAAAGTGGAAGGCAGAGTGCTCAGGATGTCTGCGTTAGATGAGCCTGGAACACAGGCCCGATGGGCACGTCTAGGCAGTGGCATCCAGGGCAGCTGAAGGCTCCAGCACCTCTGGATGGCCCAGTGACTCCAGGGCCCTGGCATGTGGCTGGCGGGCCATCCCAGGGGTAGCTCCCCCTGCCCAGGTATGGGCTCTTCAGACAGCTGGCCCCCGAGGGTGGGCAGGCAGGGTGGGTGGTGTGCGTGTGTTGAGGCCAGCCAGGTGGCCCGGCCCCAGGAAGGGCCGTGGCAGCGTCTCCCACCTGGTACCTCCATCGTGTCCGGCCTGGCCTCCCCGTGCTGCCCTTGGGTGGAGTGGGGGAGGGACGGGGGACAGAAGGCTTGGGCTGGGAGGCCACACGGTCCTGGGGCAGCCCCCACCCTGCTCTGTGTGTCCTTTCTCAGGTGGCCCCTCTGGCATCGGGCAAGTGCTTGGGAGGCTCTCTGGGCCACAGGGCCTGGCCCTGGCCTCTGGGAGGCATGTTGACACTTGTGGGTGTGGGTCTCTGCCCGTCCTTGGGCGCTGGGCACACCCCTGGGGCCGCCTTCCTGTCCGTGTCTGGGGGACGGCTGGACAGTGGCTCCAGGCCTTGGGAGCCTGCTGCCGTTCCCTGGCCATGTCCTCCGTGTTCCTGCTGCTCCTGTGTCTGTTTGAAGCCGCTTCTGTGAATCATTTTGGCCACAGGCTGTGTACCTGTGCTGGTGGCCCTCTGGCCGAGGCTTTTGGGTTCGAGTTCTGGGCTGGGTGTGGGGCAGATCCTGGACTGTGTTTGCTCCATGGTGCCAAGGACAGGCTCTCAGTGATGGCGTGAGGTCCACTGACAAGTGGACCGCCCGGGGTCAGGGAGGGGGAACCCCAAGCTACTGTTGTTGGATGTGGTTTTTTAACAGCAATAATTAGCCGTTTTGGAGAAGGGGTGTGCCTGTGTGTGTGCGTGTGTGCCTGTGGGTACGCGCACACGTGTGTGCCTCTGCGTGTGTGCGCGTGTGTGTGTGCAGGGAGGGAGCCTGGGGGCCGAGGGCCTGCTCTGGCTGGGAAGGGGCGGCCGGGAGGTGCTCGGCGGTGCGGCCGGCCTGAGGCCTCGTTCACGCTCCTTGTCCGGACCCAGCGGACCTTGAATCTAGCGCTCTTTCCTCCCTGGCCAAGGGTGCCGGACGGCCTGTGTGAAGGGGGGGTGACCAGGATGAGCTTTTGCTCAGCTCTCTGGCCATGTGGGGAGGGTGGCAAGGGCAGTGACACTCAGCCAGACTGGCCGAGATCAGATTTGTTTGACCACAGCTGCCATGGGCGCGGTGTCCTTGGGCAGTCAGAGCCCAGAACGTGTCATGGTGGCTGGTTTCACTTACTGTGTTTACCGTTTGTGAGCCCAGGACTGTGGCGTCTGTCTTGACATCCCAGGATGTACCAAACAGCCCCAGAGAGGGCCCGGAGGGGCCGTGCACTGCGTCCAGAGGAGACAGGCTGCAGGGCTGGGGAGAGGGTCTCAGGCTTCCTGTGCGTGTGTGAGCGATGGGAGGGGTCGGGAGCAGTGTCCCTCCACCTGCCCAGCCCCCAATGCTGCTGTTTTTCAATAAAACCGGAGTTGATGGAACCAGGCTCCATGCTTTCTTGAGGTGTCATCTGCGCAACGCTGGGCCAGGAAGGGCTGCTTTCCTGGAGATGCTGAGCCCCTCCTCCTGGAGGCTGGAGCAGGTGCCTGGGTGACCTGTGGGCTGAGAGGCCCCCGTTTCTGTGTCAGCAGCCCCGGCCGGGCTCTCCTGCAGGCCTGGGGGTCTGCCCGTCTGTCTGACGCCTCCTTGGAGCAGGTCAGCTCTGAGGGATGGCATGAGGTGTGGGACCCAGGTGGGAGGGGCAGTGGGACCCCCAGTGTCTGTAAGGAAGGGAGGGTGATGGAATGGGGGTGTCAGGCTGGAGAGCAGGGCACGGGGGTGGGGCAGGGTGGACATACACCCAGCTGTGTCCAAAGGCTCCTGCAGCCCACCCAGCGTGGACGGCTCTCCGCGGCAGGCCTTCCCCTGGCTGCGCTCTCCTGCCCTGGCCCGGCTTCTGGGTGGGAGGGAACGTCCTCGCAGGGTCCATCCACCCCTCAGCCCCGAGGGTGTCAGGCGTGTTCCCTTCTCGCGGGTCTGACTGGGACGCTCTGGGACGTGCCCACCCCACGTGGCTTCCCCCCACAAGGCACACGGCGGTCCGCGCTGGCCCAGAGATGTCAGCTCCCAAGGACG